ACTGAAAAAGGTCAATGAACTCTACCCAGCCACAAGGACCAGGGATATTGCACAAAAAAGACCAGATAACGACACACATCAATCACAGTAGCAGATAATCTCTCTCCCCTTATCACAACAAAAAACACGCTGATCACCCTATCTCACCTACAGCTATAAATACTCAACTATCCAACAAACACCAACAGAGCATGGACAGAGTTCCTACTCCAGTCCTCTGAAGATGCCAGCCACAGTGACTGGCGAAATGTCAGGAAGAACAACCTTCAGAACGTGGCCAAAGAGCCCGAAAAACCTACAACAAACCAAAATGGATGATCGTTTTATTAAAATACACAAATAACACACACACGTTCACACAGACAAAAGAATCCAAGGGGAAGGATCGCCATTAATAGTGGTAGTGGCATATTACCTTCTCATGTGCCATCAGGTGGGAACCAACTTATACGACCCTAATAGGACTTTCGAGGGACGTGGTGGCGCTGCGGGCTAAACCGCAGAAGCCTGTGCTGCAGGGTCAGAAGACCAAGCAGTCGTAAGATCGAATCCACGCGACGGAATGAGCACCCGTCGCCTGTCCCAGCTCCCGCCAACCTAGCGGTTCGAAAGCATGCAAAATGCGAGTAGATTAATAGGTACCATCTCGATGGGAAGGTAAACAGCGTTCCGTGTCTAAATCACACTGGCCATGTGACCACGGAAAGATTGTCTTCGGACAAAACGCTGGCTCTATGGCTTGAAGAGCGGGATGAGCGCCGCCCCCTAGAGTCGGACACGACTGGACAAAAATTGTCAAGGGGAACCTTTACCTTTACCTTTACCTTTAATAGGACTTTCAAGGTAAGTGACATACTTAAGGAGATATTTTATTTATTTAGTTAGTTTATTAAAATAATTTTACCCCACCTTTCTCTTTGAAAGGGCCCAAGGTCGCCCAATTTTACATCCCTGTCCTGTGATTTTCCATGGCCAAGTGTGGATTCAGACTCAGGTCTCCTGAATCTCTTGAGTCTGATCCATCACTCTATCCACTACACCACATGGGGGTAACCCCATGCTGTTTCTTTTCTACTTGTGCTGTGGATCCAAATTCAGTCTGTAACTCCTCTCATTGACTTGCACTGGAAAACCAGAACAGCTGTCATGACTTAGGTTCTGGTTCTTACTTCTGTTTTTGTTTTGTTTTTGCAGTGATGGACATGAAATTTTGAGTCATGATAGACTTAAAGTAGAGGGTACACCTGATAAATTTCTGTCAACCAGCTTCGGCACAGTTTATATGAGGCACCATCAAAGTTTAAGTTTTTTTTTAAAGGCTATCACAAATTGTGTCCCTTTCAATCCAAATTGTGTTTTGGTTCTGAACTGATTGAGAAGGTCAGTTGCTTGCCCTGGGACCAATCTGTCTGTTCTGGTTCACTCTGAGCGTGGTGTAAATTGGTTCAAACTGTGCAGATTTGGTGAGTAATTCAGGCTTTGGCTGACTCGGATGCATAGTGCGAATAAACATCTTGCTATATTGTTGTTGTTCAGTCGTTTAGTCGTGTCCGACTCTTCATGACCCCATGGACCAGAGCACGCCAGGCCCTCCTGTCTTCTACTGCCTCCCGGAGCTGGGCCAAATTCATGTTGGTTGCTTCGATGACACTGTTCAACCCTCTCGTCCTCTGTCATCCCCTTCTCCTCTTGCCTTCACACTTTCCCAACATCACGGTCTTTTCCAGGGAGTCTTCTCTTCTCATGAGATGGCCAAAGTACTGGAGCCTCAGCTTCAGGATCTCTCCTGCTATGTTAATTCTACTGCCTCCCGGAGCTGGGCCAAATTCATGTTGGTTGCTTCGATGACACTGTTCAACCCTCTCGTCCTCTGTCATCCCCTTCTCCTCTTGCCTTCACACTTTCCCAACATCACGGTCTTTTCCAGGGAGTCTTCTCTTCTCATGAGATGGCCAAAGTACTGGAGCCTCAGCTTCAGGATCTCGCCTGCTATGTTAGCATAGTATAATAAATGCTAATTACTAAAATTATACCCAGAGTGTTGTAGTGGATGGAGTGATAGGCTAAGACTCAAGAAACCTGAGTTCAAATCCTTGTTCAGCCATGAAAACTTATGGTGGTAGGAGGAGAACTGGTAAACCCCTCCTTAAGTGTATCACATACCATGAGAGCCCTATTTGAGTTGCTATAAGGTGGTTTGTGCTTAATGGCATGTCACACACACACACACACACACACACACACACACACACACACACACACACACACACACACACACACACACACACACACACACACACACATCTCTAAAACAATCAGCAGCCTTGTAATGAAAACAGATACTGGTCTCAAAACATGGTTGAAAGTCACACGACTGCCTGGGAATCTTGTGTGTACCATGTTAATTTGCAAAAAGATGGAACATGAGCATAAGGAATTAATATATTACATACTTAAAGTAAAGGTAAAGGTTCCCCTTGACAATTTTTGTCCAGTCGTGTTCGACTCTAAGGGGCGGTGCTCATCCCCATTTCCAAGCCATAGAGCCAGCGTTTTGTCCAAAGACAATCTTCCGTGGTCACATGGCCAGTGCGACTTAGACATGGAACGCTGTTACCTTCCCACCGAGGTGGTCCCTATTTATCTACTTGCATTTGCATGCTTTCGAACCGCTAGGTTGGTGGGAGCTGGGACAAGCGACGGTAGCTCACTCCGTCTCGTGGATTCGATCTTATGACTGCTTGGTCTTCTGACCCTGCAGCACAGGCTTCTGTGGTTTAGCCCGCAGTGCCACCACGTCCCAGAATATTACATACATAACATATGGTCATCTCACCCTCTTCTGTGTAAAGGGGCCTTTGAGGTATTACCTAGGGAGTTTTCTTTCCTCAGCAGGATAACATTGGTATAAGTGTGTACATTTGATGAACGATTGTAGAATCCTACAATCGAAGGATCTAGTGTGGGGTGGGCCCATTAGACAAGGCTGGGAGGAACTTGTCTGCCCCAACATCCTTGGGGATACCCTACCTAAAGGTCTTGTGACTGAATTAAAAGGTGAATCATCACTTGAGAGGCTTTCTGGAGTTTCATTTCTTCTTTTTTACTTTGCAAAAATAGGGACAGGGAAGGGTTGGGGCCACATTTTTCCATTCCACCCCCACTTGTCTATGCAGGAAGGTCAAAGCTGGATCATTCATGACAAACAGCTGGTAATTGATTCTTTTCCTGTAATGTTCTTGCTGTCATGATTTTTTCTGCTCATGTTCAGCCTACATCTACTGTCCTGTAATGTATGATCTTAAGAACAAGACATTGCCTTCTTCACGTACAGTATTTGGAAAGTGAGATCCTGTCCAGTCTTCTGTTTTCCAGGGCAAACACAATCCTTTCCAATTTTCCAGTGGTGTATTCCACTTCCCTATCTGTTCAATCTGTATGAATAACCTGCCACCATGGAAAGCTGGATTAGATTCAGATGAAGACAGAGTGAAAACTGGTGGAAGAAGCATCAGCAATATAAGTTATGCAGATGAGACCCTATTAGTGGCAGACGGCAGTGGGCTGAAGTAGCTCCTGATGAAGCTAAAACAAGAAAGTGGAAAAGCAGGAGTGCAGTTGAATATTAACCCGACAAAAATCATGACTGAAAATGAACTTTATGTGGACAATAAAGACACTGAAATTGTTAAAGATTTCTATGCCTTAGTTCACATATCAGTCTGAAAAGAGTAAACAATTGGCCCTAGATCAAATCAAACCTGGCCTCTCTCTAGTGGCAAAAACTGAGGCTGTCATACTTTGCACATATGATGAGAAGATAGGAAAAGACTACGGTGTGAGGAAAATATGAAGGCAGCAAGAAAAGATGAAGACCAAACATGAGGTGGATTGAATCCATAAAGGAAGTCACAGTCTTCAGTTTGCCAGAGTTGAGTATGGCTGTTAAAGTTACAGCATTTTGGAGATCATATATTCACAGTTTCACAAAAAGCTGAAGGTGACATGACAGCATGTAACCAACCCTCCTCCCCAAAAAAAACACAAAATGGTGTGGAAATTTCCTGTGAATTTTTCATTCAAAACGCTCTAAGATGCCAGCAATCATAGGCAAAATTAAACAGAAAAACACAGCAAAAGGTAATGATATGTTAAAGCAAAATAACTTTATTCATAAAGTGTCGCATATAAAACAAAAAACATCTATGTACATAAAATTAAGCATCTGCACTAAATCCAACTATGTAGCTGACAGATTGCAAAATATAGAATAAATTAAGAATTTCCACCTTATGGAATAAAGATAAGGGTACAATAACAGTTTTATGCCAAAAGTTTCCAGATTGATAGATTATGCTTCAATCCTAAAAATAATGCTTGTTGTTAAAGTTTACTGAAAATCATTGAGGCAAACACTCGGCTTGAAATGGTTTATAGGACGTTTTCTTGTTGGCTTAATTCTGACTGAATTATAAAAAAAATGTCAAGCTGCACATTACTGCTGGCTTTGTTTACTCCTTTGTTAATCTTGAAAGCTTGCCATGGAGAGTTTTGTAGGGAGCATTTTGCATCATGTCTTATTATTCTTGGGGCTGACAGAGTAAGTATTTGTATACAAATGACAACCATTATGAGCCTGCTGCTAAGTAAATTCCGTTGAGTGCCAGGTTTTTTTTTACTGCCACAGTAGTGATTATATTGTAAAGAGCTTTGTGTCACAGTGGTTAAACTGCAGTACTGCAGTGAAGTTTCTGCTCATGACCTGAAATCATTTCTAGGCTCAGGTAGCTGGCTCTAGGTTGATTCAGCTTTCCATGCTTTTGTGCTCAGTAAATTGAGTACCGAGCTTGTTGGAGAGGGAGGCAATGTGTAGCCTGCATAAATTGTAAACTGCCCAGGGAGAGCTTTAAGCACTGTGGGGGTGGTATATAAGCAGCACACTTTGCTTTACATAATTGTAGCCTTAGCTTGCCATGTGCATGCATGATATACAAAAATATAAGCAGCATTAGACATCACTGCCTAATAGGGAACCACTTATACAAGAGAAGTGCTTGAATTAGACATTCAGAGGTGTTTTTTGAGGGCGTTTTTCAAATCTTCTCAGCACGAAAGCCAGCTGTTGGCCCTTCTGACCCGAGTAACTTGTCTGGTATTAGGGTCAAATTCATATTGATTTGTTCCCCTGAAAAAGTACAACAATCCTAAAAGGAAAACAAAGCAAGACAAAGATGAATAACTTTAATATACATATTGCAACAGTTTAAAAAATATGAAAAGGGAAACATGCACCTAAATTCAAAATATTCAGAAACTTTAACTAGTGCTAACTATGGCACCTAGTTGTTGGCTGAGAATGGCAAAATAGGGTGCATTACTTCCATGCTATTTGAGTAGCAAAGCAGAAATAGAGGATGGAACAGAAGGGGAGGAGAAAAAGTAGGAGGGCAAAAATGCCCTTTATACTATTACAAGTCCCTTGAAAATATGCTACAGTAAGGTTAGGTAAAGGTAAAGGTTCCCCTTGACATTTAGTCCAGTTGTGTCTGACTCTAGGGGGCGGTGGTCATCCCCATTTCCAAGCCATAGAGCCAGCGTTTGTCCGAAGACAGTTTCCGTGGTCATGTAGCCAGCATGACTAGACATGGAACATCATTACATCCCTACTGTGGTGGTACCTATTTATCTACTAGCATTTACATGCTTTCAAACTGCTAGGTTGGCAGGAGCTGGGACAAGCAACGGGAGCTCACTTGCGTGGATTCGATCTTACGACTGCTGGTCTTCTGACCTTGCAGCACAGAGGCTTCTGTGGTTTAACCTGCAGCGCTACCATGTCCCTTATGCTACATTACTGAGTGGCAAAGCTGATGGATAATCCATGGTGTAGCAAAAGCATATGGCTTTAATATCCTGAACTTTTTAATGCCCTGAATCCTTTGCTATGATATCTATTGGTATTACAGAAAGGGGAATTCTGAATATGGATACAGAATAGCCTTGTTCAGGCATAATACTTAAAACAGGAAATAACAACTCATGTAGGAGGCAGGGAGGTATGTTCAAGTGCCAGCTGAACATACCCAGAAGTCACCTCTCAAATTTTCAGGAAGGCTGGAAGAGCAGACATAGGTGGAAAGATGTTGAGGTGGCTGCTGGTTCACTTCATACATGTATTGGGTTTTCTTATTCAGGCATTAGACCTGAACAGAGCTCAGGATGAAAGACTAAGAGATCATCTGAACTTTCATTTCCACGTTTCCCAAGTACTACAGTTTATTCAACAATCTCATTTATGGGAGCAATGTTACTACCATGTATGAAAGATACTTGATTTAACTCCTTTTTCTACAAACTTTTCAACATACTTGGAAGGAGTTTCACTCCCATTTGATGAATAAAATAAGTGAAAGAACTAAACAAAAGATAGTTAGATCTAGACCAGTGGTTCCCAACCTTGGGTCCACAGATTTTCTTGGATTAAAACTCCCAGAGGCCTTCACCACTAGATGTGCTGGCCAGGATTTCCAGGAGATGTAGTTCCAGAACATCTGAGGACCCAAGGATGGGAACCACTGACCTAGACTGTAAGAAGAATCTTACCAGGAAAAAAAATCCTGATTCTAACCCCTCAGCTCCACCAATGGCTCCTTCTGAGATACGCTACTTACCATTATGCTGAAAGGCAGCATCAACTTTCCCCTCAATACCTGGGAAACCATCTTTGATATTTTTTGGTTTCCTCTCCAGAGTTTGTGTGGTTTCATCATATCTGAGGAAACAATAAAGGAAAAAAAATGTGTATGTAAGTAAACCGCTTTTGGGGAAACAATGTCCTCCAGAATCTACTACTTTGGACATAAATCCAACGAACCCCTGAATCATGAGCTTCTTGGACTTGTTTCCTCACATTATTGAGGAAAACTACTATGGTCCAATCCAGGCCAGCCCTAACATTGAGGAAAGTGAGGTGATCACCACAGAAACAGTTGCTAGGTGATACTGAGGCTTGAGGCTTAAAAAGCCTGTTCCAGACAACTTGCCTTGCATGTCCTAAGGTGGACTGATGTCCTCAGGTGACACAGAAGATGCTATCTGTACCACCAGCTGTGTTGACATAAGATTTGACTGTCACTCTAGTTGGCCTCTCAAGCAGGGATTAGATGAGCGAGGGTGAGCATCTCTCACATCAAGGACCAAGACAGAAGCATATGTCATGATAATTTCTTTGGAAATGTTTACCACCAGTCAAATTATTTTTAAGAACATAAGCCTTGTAGAAGAGCAGTACTGCATCTAATACAGCTTCAAGAACCCTTTCCTTATCAGTTCCTACCAGCTTCAGAAGCATACAGTATATCCATTTGCATTTAGAAATGGACTGTTTCTGCAGTAGACACTCAAGCAATGTCAGTTCTGTCAGGGACTTCTGGGAGTTGAGTTCTAAAACCACAGATCTGTAATACCTCTCACTGAGATCACTGGGCAATACTGAAATTAAGCCATGCAAGGACAGAATTCAGCAGTTCCCTGTAGAGGTCACTCTGGACAGTTCCTAAATGCAAGTG